CAAAATCTGGGTCACACCAGTATCTGACAACATTTTGTAAGTATGTTGCTGCCACACGCGGTGACGACATCGCGTGGCCAATAGGAGCGCGGTTACATGAAACCATCGGAGGCTGCAGCGTGCGCCGGCTCCCCGGGTGTGGTTGCAGCCATCGACGGGTCCTTTCTCTTTATGGATGCACCCAGCAAGGAGATAGCAGCTGCTCATAATACCCACAAGCATCGCCAAACAGTACATGTACTGGCTGCTTGTGATCACCGCGGCGCGCTCGCTGATGTACTTGCAGGGTTCCGGGATCCGCCCACGATTGTCGCGTATGTTCGGGGAAGGGGTCCCTCTACTGCGACGTCAGGGGGCATCGGCGGCAGCTTCTCCCATCTAACACACACCCCATCAAGGACAGGAGCTTCCCCTTTCCCCGGAGATCATCACCCCTTCCCGAGACAGCGATCACCTCAGCCCCACTCAGCACCACTTCAACAGACCCCACAAAAAACACGTGTCAAAATTGAACGTGCCTTCAGCATGCTGAAAAACAAACTGCAGCAGCTAAAACATGTAGAAGTGAAAAGCATGGGCATTGTGGCTGAGGTTTTCATTGCATTAATCACTGCACCATGCATCAATCATTGGGTATCATGAGCATGGAGCAGGAGATAACATAGTGCCTGCAGAGCCCCACGAGGCAGATCCCGTGGAACAGATTGACGTAGGTGCCCTGTTGCTTTCTAGTATTCAGAACCTGCAAGTGCGGTGCATGGGCACCACAAAGCGACAGCACATGGCTGGCCACCTCATGACAAAGATGATGCATGCAGCATGCTTCAGTTAAATGTTGTAATGCGACAATTGAGAAAGATAAAAGCAGATCGGAAAGAACAGTCAATTAATTACATTCAAATTCAGCACAAACACACTTTGGCAAACAGACGGTTGAGGAGCAGCAGAGGGTGTCTTTGGAAGGAACATAGACTGAAAAGCTCGGAGACCCTCCACATCTAGAAAGACAACAATTTGTGCACACCCAGTTACTGAGATTACTTTGGGCAACATACAGTATGGCAATTCCATTGTTTGCTTGCCTAGTGCATGTCAGATCTCATCCACAGGTGTTACCATTTAGCACGCGCACGTAGCATTTTAAGAATAAATTGTTCGCTACCTTCCTTAATTAACCAGTCAGGTTACATTATGAGGGTTAAACTTCATTCGAACAATACTTAAATACAGGATGATGACATCTTTGACATGCATCAATTTTTTACAACTCACCCATCTTGCCAAACACAGCAGACAAAACCATGGTCCATAGTGAATGTTTTTTGGCAAAGCATGCATATATATAATGGCCACATTAGGGAGATTCAGTGCAATTAAGACGAGCACAGGTCATAGCTTGATGTGTACAGAACAAATTGCTCAAAATTATGCATATGACCTTTATCATCAATAAAAATGTTTCACCATGACAATTTTATACTCCTGTCTTGTACTTCCACATGCTTCAATACCACTAGCGATTAATCAGTGAAATTAACCTCACATTCCTGTTCCCTACTAATAAGATATGCTAAAATACATACGAGTGCATAATCTGTTAATATAAATTTTAGGTAATGTTACCATGACACACTTCAGCACCGGGGTTCCGAAACTCCACCATCCCCGTGTTGTTCATAATCTGTCAGGCATGCAGTGAAGGTACGGGTCAGAGAGAAGCCTGCCGCGCGTCCTGCGGTCGTCTCGATCAACTCCAGGCTGATGTTGCTGGACCCCCATATTGTATACCAAGAAAGTTCTGAAGCGCAAAAGGAAGGAAGCACGTCAGGATTGGTGAAGTGGATGGCGAATGCAAGCTTACGATTCTTCTAATGCATCGAGCTTATATATCACAAACCTGCTCAGTGACATATGCTCGACTCCTCCGTTGAGATGGTGAATCAAATGTACCTTAAAGGTTGGCACGTGCGTAGTGTTTCCATGACGGTTGGCAGGCAGATAAGTGCATTTGCAGTGAACGTCAGCTTTTTAGTTCTTATTTACTCGCAACGAGAAGTGGAGTTCCCTATTCAGTTACAGCGCATCCATCGCCGCCCCAGCTTTGGCTCTACCCTGCGGCTCCGAGAAAAATAGGTCAATTCCGGAGAGAAACCCGTATGTTGGCATATTATCGAGGTAATTTTCTTTTTTTCCTATCGCTGAGCCAGCGAACTTGTTTTGCAAAACTACGCTCCCGCTTTAAACGTATCTAACTGAAGGAACAAATTGTCCGTAGGCTGTACCATTAAGCGCGTTTAACCAGAGGGAGCAGTCTCCAGATTCAGACAGCCCCCCCCCCCCCCCCCCTCCCCCGTGAGAGTAAAGGCATATGAAACTTCAAGTCAGTTAGTCTCACACATCAGTCATCAATGCCGTCAAAAAATGTGCTGTTAAAAATCACCAACACATATAGTAAATAGCGGAGCTAAATACCGCGGATAATTCTATCCATAGCCCGCAATGCCAAACAGTAAATTTCCCGATAAGCTCCTTCCACGACAACCCCGCAGCTACCGCCGAGTAACTAGCTTTCTTCGATGCCACGGGCCAGAGATCGAAGTTTTGAATTTTTACACGCCTGCTGCCAAGGCCGTGCTGGCGCGACAAGGCTTGGCGAGCTTAAACAAAACGTTGTCCTTGTGCATGCACGGTGGTTTAACTGGGTAGCACTACCCCATGGCGTCACTCGTGGGCTGAGACGGGAGAATTCGGCTACGTTACCCCTCTAACGGGCAATATCGGAACCAATGGGTTTATGGTTGCCAGGAAGTGGGACAGCATCCCGACCCTTTGATCTCACGCACGCTGGTTGTTATAAGCGCGGGATGTTATGAATATTGAATGGTGTAGTTTTAGATGCTGCTCGCTTGGATGTTCTGGCAATCCTCTTTCCAGGGACATTTGGCCATTTGTTGAATTTTGTGAACGCTGTACGCTGCGATTTTGGACGTTATGACTTCTGGATATTTCAACACGCATCCGGAGCCAACCAGACGATTGTTACCTGTGTTAACTGGGATGCCACAGATCAAGACATTTTCACAGCGAGAGCATTTCGCCTCCAACAAGCCAGCAGCAGTAGCATTGGTCACACTCGCGAGTACTACTGGCATTCGACCAACGCGACGGATAAACCATGCATAACGACAGAACTTGTGACATAAGACGAATAGTTCGTCTCTTTGGGCAGGCACAGCTTCAGACTTCACATAACTCGAACACACCGGAGCAACAACACAACTTTGTGACGGATTGGAACAGACGGCTACGTATCGGACACGTAGAGTCGCGGGTAAACAAGCTCCGTATTCGCAGGGCAGGCTTGTATCACATCTAGATTTTTTTTTGTCAGAAGCACGGCTTACAAATAACAGACCAATATGCGACGTTCTGAACGATTTCTGCATAGCATAGACACAACGTCTTACCGGCAAGCTCAACCTACCCAGTGAAGATTCTGACAAAAGGCAGATTCTCGTTCTAGTGCATCATACGGTGACCGAAGTAGAAGCAGTAAACCCCTCACTTTATGAAATATGAATAAATCAGCTGGGTCGTGCGATGTGCCAAAATTCATGAAATAAGCGTGTCTTGCTGTCCAAAATGCGCTACACAAAACGTTGCAATGAATCATTTTGAACATTGGCACTCCCCACACACGCTCAAAGATACAAAGGTCATGCTTGTGGTCAAAAGCAACGTTTCCGCTCCGATCTTGTCAGCGCCCACATCTCATCAACTTACCAGAGGAAAACAGTGCGTGTCATGACAGTGACATTTCCAGATACATGTGGCACGGATGTGCTATTCTCATATGTAAAGTCGTCTTCACACACCCAGCGATCGTCTCGTCTCTCCTGGCTTAAATTTTCAAAAAGCTAAGATCAGAGGCCCTGAATCACCTACGCCGGATTATACAAAATTATCATAAAAAGCATGCACACGATAAGTATTATTTTTCTTTTAGTTCAAACCTCCGGCGTCGCCGAAAGGTACAGAACATCGTTTGCGCCTTGAAAACTCACATCATTTTGAAAGCCTGCCTTTGACTTGAAGTGGCGGGTGCCACTGTCCTGTGTTTGTGGTGTAGGGTAGACGGATTGTGCTGGACTGCTCTGGCACACCCCGCAAGCGCTGGATGCCCTCACAATGTGCTGCTCGGCTCAAATCGAGCAGAATCGACTACAACCGGAGTCGATTTTCACACAGACGACATGTCGCTCTACGCAGCACACAAATGACGACATTGACATGGCAGGCGACAGACTTGTCAGTGCCCACTTCATTTTGCACTGTCCTATGTACCAGGCCGTCAGAAATATTCTTTTCTGAAGTTTTCAGGCTGTTCTAGAATATGATTAACAGCTCTCCGTTCAGCTGATGCATTTAGCATGCCGTCATGAGGTGTTAAACTTGACACCCAGCAGCGGTCGACTGGTTTCCTGGCATTTCGCAGTGTTTCCTCATGAACGCAAAGTGACCATTGCAGTCAGGCGCGCCCTAAAACAGCAATATACAGCAACAAAACAGTTAACTCACATTACATTGATTACGTTACGTGGTATGCCCCGAATGTTCCCTCCCCCCCCCCCCCCCCCCCCCCCCCCTCCGCTCGGGCAGTGGTAGCTAGTGTGCTGCCCAGTATGCCTGCGTGCACCGCAGCACACACGCCTGTGTGGACCGCAGCACACGCTTTGGTGCACCGCAGCACACACGCCTGTGTGGACCGTAGCACACGCTTTGGTGCACCGCAGCACACACGTGTAGACCGCAGCACACGCCTGCGTGCACCGCAGCGCACATGCCTGTGTGGACCGCAGCACACCCCTGCGTGCACCGCAGCACACGCCTGCAGGCGTGCACCGCAGCACACACGCATGCGTGCATTGCTGCGGTGTGCTGCGTCACGACGACTGGGACGCCCGCTTCTGGTTCACAGGAGAACCGCGTCTGATTCACAGGAGGACCTCTACAAGGCCCGGATAGCGGAGCGGCAGGCCAAGGAGAAGCTGATGGAGTTCTTAGCCAAACAATCGAGCCAAAGCGTCACGCAGTCTTTCAATGGGATATCGGTGAGTAACATGTGCAGACTCTGGTAGCATCTGCACCACGCCCATAAAACGCCTAGCCCTGCCGGCAAAAGGTGGTGAGTTATATTTTTCACAGCATCTGTAAAGCAGCGTTCCAAAGCAAACATTTTCAACATCCAAGTATCGCGATCGCATGAAACGTTGCCATCTCCATGCTTCGTGCTCGGCCGGAACACTGGAGACCGCAGCGGTGATGTCGTGAGAGTAACCCCAGGTACTCGTCTCCTGTGGGGCCCGTGAAATAACCTCGCGCGGCGGAGCAAGCGCGTGCAGAGCGGATTCGGCAGGGGTGGGCGTGGTAGACGTTATTTCATTCATTATTACGGGTGGGAGGTTTGCGGTTTCACAGGTCGTCGTGTTCTTGCAGATCATTACGTTGTGTCCGGTATGCCAGTTGTGTTCCCTTATGGAACAGCGATACTATTTTATGTACCGCATATTGTTCACCGCATGAGCCTCCCTGTGGATTTATCATGAAGCTCATAACCCTCACCCGGCAATATTATTAAGCCGAGTCCAATAAATGTCAGTTGCTATGACATACAACGTGGCTTCCTAAATCCGTCCACTTTGATATAAGGTACGCACCTTAAAGCACGAAATGTATGCATTTTCACTCATGAATCAAGTTATTTAAGCATAGTCTCAAACTCTCATGTTTACTGTCGGCAGCTCGGGTGTTTCGATATGTCGACAGTCGAGTCTAGCTTGATCGCGTGCCCAGCGGTTCCTTCTCGCCGGATAAGGTGCGCCAAATGAGGCGTCCGGTGATAACTGCTGTGCGAATCGTTGTTTTCGGAGAGATAAGAGTGGGACGCTCATGCCACCATTCGTGGAAACGTTGATATCGGTTCTTAGGTATTATGCAAGTATTGCACTAGTGTGGGAAGAAGTTGATGTCGGTTCTTACGTATTGTGCTAGTGTTTGGCTGGTGTGGAAAGAAGTCGATGTCGGTTCTTATGTATTAAGCAAGTGTTGGACTAGTGTGGAAAGAAGTTGATGTCGGTTGTTATGTATTACGCGAGTGTTGAGCTAGTGTGGGAAGAAGTTGATGTCGGTTCTTATGTATTATGCGAATGTTAGACTAGCGTGGGATGAAGTTGATGTCGGTTCTTATGTATTAAGCGTTGGACTAGTGTGGTAAGAAGTTCATGTCGGTTCTTATGTATTATGCCAGTGTTGGACTGGTGTGGAAAGAAGTTTATGTCGGTTCTTATGTATTATGCAAGCGTTGGACTAGTGTGGTAAAAAGTTTTGTATACGTTGATTGGGGAGTTTTGTCGAATTATCATGTACGCGATCATTCGCGTCCGTATGCATGTGGGCTCAAAGTGACCAATTTTAGGGCATTGTTTTGATGCTGAAAACATTGACAAAAAACAGGGGTCAGAAAGGCACGTTTTTGGCTACGTTTCCTTGTAAGAATCAGATCACGTTTTCAGATCATGTTTATTCACTCTATCGCTTTTTCATGTCAGTGCCCCATTTTTCATGTTAGCACCCCGTTTGTGTCGGTCTCGGTAGCTTTTGGCCCGCCTGCGGAGAAAAGCTAAGAAAGCGAAATCATGCCGCGATTTGCTGGCTGTGCCAAACCTTGATTGCTTTGTTTCAGCCCTCGTATAGGATCTTCCGAGACATTTCTTTTTTGCCATATTAGCATCTAGTCGATTGAAATGACGGGTGAGAAATTGCCTGGAGTGCAGCGCTCTTGGTTTCAAAGTGCGTTGCATGTTCACACGGGCTGTTTAGGTCTGCAGCCCCGCTGTCATTGCTAGTTTGTGTCATTAGGTCATGGGATTGTAATGAAAGCCTTAGGTCGTTGCGGACGACGCCATGATGGCGCTAGAATTGACCGTTTGTAATGGCAGTGACGCCTGAACGTTGTCTTCTGTGTTTTCCCCCTTGGAGCCTTCATCTAGCTGACGAGTGGTCGCTCGAGTCACGAGTATGGAAGGCCAACTTAGCCCCCGTTCATTCCCACGTCACCTCGGGGAAACGTCACACAAGGTCCGTAAGGGATCATAAAGGAGACACGTTTGATGAGCTAATTACGGAACGTGCAACGTATGTATATGGTGCTCAGAGAACGCCCGTTGTGTTTCTCTATGATGAAGATAGCTGTGACTTGTCGACCCATCCTGCCCTGAGAGGTGCATATTCCCGCCTACACGTCTATGAGGCTGGTTAATATGATCCACAGCTACTGCGCATCGGTGTGTTCTGTAGCACGCACCAGTATCAAAGCATTGAGGCGAACGCAAGGGTTCCCGAAGACGAGGTCTTTTCCGAAGAAATTTTGCTTTTAGGCTTTTTGCTAGCAATGAATACGTCTCTAAGAAAATTAGAACGATTCAAGCCACCGTTTTGTGTCATAGAATTTTCTAGTTGATGTTTTGAAAACGGTTATTTCTTAACGACCACATCTACGACCATATCTCAGGTATCAGATATCTCACGACCGCATCTCAGGTGTGCGTTTTACGTTCTTACGGTGAAATTATGCTTTGCCTGGCGTGTCATTTCCGCGTTGGTGTAAATAAATTATCCAACGGTTTGGCGCAATATTAGTTATGTTGTGCGGTCTGTGAGAGCCTGTTGGGTGCACTCTACTGCATCACTGTCGGATATATTTGGCATGTTCGCGAGAAGCGACTTGAGGGAGCTTTCTCTCTGGCAATCTGCCATGCCTCAGAGAGCATTTTTCATTCTTGAGGTCACAGAGGTGTTTTACACGAGGTGGTCCAGGGCGAGTCAACTGCTGACGGTTTGCAGCATCGGATTTGGACTCTGATCGCGTACACTGACGCCGACGGAGTTCGTCCCGGCCAAACCGGCCAGCGGCCAGCGGCCAGCGGGCAAGGCGGACGTCGGCTGGCGAGCTTTACAAATCTGATGGGATTGGGAAGTGTACACGTCCCGTGTCTTGCCTTTCGGGAGCTTGCCAAAACCGTGCGCCTTTGTGTCGCTGTCTTGTTCGCGGAAGCTGGTGTAGTCTTTCACAGTGGGCCTAATCTGCTGATATTGGTTCTCAGGAAAGCTATTTTGCATCACATTGTCTCTCCTTTGGCACGGCATGAGATGGCTTCTTCAAAGTGCGTGTTGCGGAACCGCTATGTGCACCGTTTAGTTTTCGGGCTCTTTTGAACATTCCCAAAGAAGTGTTCCCCTGGCCTGCGCTGGGAGCACTAGAAGTCCTGTATGTGCTGTATCCTGTGACTTTATTATGGTCCCTATATATTCAATGGCGACATGGTCAGAGTTTCCTTTTTTGCAAAGGGCCCTGTTGGGACATAACAGTTTCCCACCAGCTCCGACATAAAATGTTTACAGCTCACGATCAGTTTTGGTCGTCTCAGCCCCCGCAAAATGCTCTATTTCGACGTCACATGCCGTGTGAGGCTCCTGGTGACTGGCTGCAGTTCCAGTTGAACTTTTTCCCCACGTTGATGGCTTGATTAAGTCTGAAACGAACAACATGAAAACATGTTTGGCATTTTAGTTGTGCGGTCGTTTAAGTGTTTGATGGTGGGAGATGGAGATGGACACCACAACTCTGGTGTCCTCCTTTGGCCTCGAGTGCGCAGCTTGTTACGGGCCGGTCGACGGTTGGCTGTTATATTGCAGTATCATTACGGACTGCCCAGACTGAGGAACACCCTGGTAGCTTGTTTCCCGCAATACGTGCATAGGGTTTCCTGAGCATTCAAGTGGGCGTGCGGATTGTATTTCTGGATGTATTAGTTGGTTGCCACCGACAACGCAGCTTCTCTCTCCTGTTAATGCTCCTTATTTAAATGGATTCGCGGACGTCTTTATGGCTGTGGCAATATTCCTCACTATATGATATTGTGCTGTGATATGCTACCCTGCCGGGTCTCGTTTGAGCCACTGTCTCGCCCCTCTGTCTCTACGCGCCTCGGACGGCGTGAGACACCCGACGCTAGGGGAGGGGGAGGGGGCCTATGGGAAACGGCACCCGAGCGCTGCGCGCGGCAGGACCGATTCGGTGCTGACTTGATGAACTGGTTCGGAAAGCCCTATTACGTTTTCGATGGCTCTGCAGATGAAAAATACGGAAAATTCCAAGGTCATCTTTTGTAAGGAGGTATGTTTTTACAAATTTATCTGAAAAAATTCACTGGTAATTAATGTATAGGATCTGTGATAAGCATTTTCATGACACGGTCGTTAGAGAAGTCTTTTGTTAAAACGTGAAAATGACACAACGTCTATTACTCAAAAACGGTAGCTCCTATCGCTCTAATTTTCTCAGAATTGTGTTCAGGGCTAGAGAAATCTCACATAAAATTTAGTCGAAAGCCCAGATCGTTGGGTGTCAAAATGAGCCTTCTTTGGTTGATTTGGCATGGAACTACCCGTAGAGTATTCATGTCTCAGGTATTTCAGTTTCTTGTATTATGTTAATTGATAAGTGGCCCAATTTTTGACAAAATCGGGGCAATTCGTAGCCTTGGTGTAATCTGTAGCGTCATCGCTGATATGCACGTAGCGCATTTCCCATGCGCTTAGGTCATTGCTAACCGGGATTTGTGTTAGCTGAATCAGTCTGATCAGTCGAATGGTTCTGGCGATACCTTCTCGGAGAGGCGTCCAAACGCCCCTGTCCCTCCTCGCGAGTCGGAAGTGCGAAATACTCCAGCAGGGGCCTAGTTAAACAAGTTGTCAGTGACAAGTGCAAACAGATGCAAGTTGTTAGTGGTTGATAATCAGCAAGGCAAAATCTCGATAATGTGCCGACACCACGGGTGCGGTCTACATTGGCGGAGACGTCGACAGCCGAGCTGTCAGCGGGTGTGAGCGTGCAAGAGGCGTCTCTCACGAAGCCAGGTGTGCGGACCGCGGCTCCCAGCCCGACCCGAGGCGTCTCTCACGGGGCCAGGTGTGCGGAGCGGTTGGCGTGTTTGTCGGAGGTGTGTGGAGCGGTTGGCGTGTTGCCGTCGGTGTGTGGAGCGGTTGGCGTTTTGTCGGAGGTGTGTGGAGCGGTTGGCGTGTTGCCGTCGGTGTGTGGAGCGGTTGGCGTTTTGTCGGAGGTGTGTGGAGCGGTTGGCGTGTTGTCGGAGGTGTGTGGAGCTGTTGGCGTGTTGTCGGAGGTGTGCGAAGCGGTCGGCGTGTTGTCGGAGGTGTGCGGAACGGTTGTCGTGTTGTCGGAGGTGTACGGAGCGGTCGGCGTGTTGTCGGAGGTGTGCGGAGCGGTCGGCGTGTTTGTCGGAGGTGTGCGGAGCGGTCGGCGTGTTGTCGGGAGGTGTGCGGAGCGGTCGGCGTGTTTGTCGGAGGTGTGCGGAGGGGTCGGCGTGTTGTCGGAGGTGTGCGGAGCGGTCGGCGTTTGTCGGAGGTGTGCGGAGCGGTCGGCGTGTTTGTCGGAGGTGTGTGGAGCGGTTGGCGTGCTGTCGGAGGTGTGCGGAGCGGCCGGCGTGTTGTCGGAGGTGTGCGGAGCGGTCGGCGTGTTGTCGGAGGTGTACGGAGCGGTCGGCGTGTTTGTCGGCCGGTCGCTCCGCCCGCCGGAGCCGGCAGTCAGCAATGGTGGCCCTGTGTGCGGGGCAGGCGCGTACGGTCGCCAGCGAGCTGTGCACGGTGTCCGCGGACAATAGGCAGCTATCTGGCGCGGAGCCTCGCAGCCGGGCAGGATCGGCGGCGCTGGTGGCAGCTGCGCTCACATTGACTTGCATGACATGGAGATTTGTTCAATATGGTATGGAGAGCGTTGGCAAATACGCATGTCGCGCTGCATAACTGCCGTGGTGAGGAGCTCGCATGCGTGACGGAAGGCAACGACGAAATTCTTGAAATGAGGTTGAGCCCGTTTGTGGTCGGCCTATATGTGGCGAAGCCCTATGTTTTATGCCATGTGGACTTGATCATTACCGCACTGGTGAAGATGGATGTCGATTAGACGGAAGCAAATGCTGTTCATAAGTTGAGCCGTTCTAGATGCATTTGCTGGCGACCAGTCGGACTATGCCTGACTGCATCCTGGCATATTGCGAAGTATGGATCAGTTATGGATGGGCTCAGATGTAGTGATAACACCGCAGCAAGAAATGGCGTGGTGGTCCCAATGCGCCGTCATTGCTGTTACCAGGATAAACTGTGAGGATGGATTGTACGGAAGAACGATGTGGCAACCCCACTCGACGCAGTCTGATGGCTCGGCGGTACAAGTGACTGGATGAACGTTGGTGAAATAATGTGACAGATGAAGCGTGAAATAATAAAACATGAAATTAATTGGAATAAGTTTAACCCCATGTCATAGCGCGGGTCTGCATCACTGAACCTAACGTATTCCGCTGGCAGTCCGGAAATCCGACTCATGCTTCTGCTTTAACACGCGCTCGGGTGGGGGTCAAACTGACTCCCTCAAAGGTTTTTTTAGAGAATGGTTTCCGAAAGACGCGGCGTAGCCACGCCAAATTTTGCTTAGCTGTAGATAATTGAACAGTGGATCGTTTGGTATCAAAAATTTAGATGCACCTTGTAAGGTCGCTTACCTAAGGCAGGTCAGTTAGGCCATGGTTTCGGCGGTCAATTTTCAGGGAATCGTTGAGTATGATAAAGCAACGGAGTGTTGAACGAAGCCACACATCTCTGAGATGCACTCTTGGGCAACACAAATATCAAATGAGCATATTGCGTTGAGTTAAGGTCAGGTATGAAGGCCAGACCAAGGTCAAAACCAACCGTTTTATTGCTTTAGGGCGTGCTGGATGGGGTAATTTCTGGTGCTCATTTCGAATTGATTGATAGCGGGAACCGCATTATACATCTTACATAGACTTCTTGGAGGTCAGAATAGGTCACTGACCTAAAATGACCCAGATCAACATTTCGTTTTTAGAACCATACTGCCTAGCGTAATCTTTGTCGCTTATTCAAATGCAAAACTCAGAGCAGTCTTCTACTATTTTGGTCACCATGACCTTCAAAAGGTCAAACAAGATCAGTGATCGCAAATGAGCATGTGACCTTTTGCTGAAAAACAGTTGTCCAGGTTCGAAGGGCACTTTGGATACCTTGAATTTGACTTTGTTTATCCGTATTTGATCCGAAGGTCATGATCTGGGAACCTCAAACTTTAACCTAAGTGAGTTCACGTACAGGTCAACACATTCTGTAAATTTGGTGTCTCCAGCTTTCTTAGTTCCCGAGATCTCAGTGGGGAGTCATATTGACCCCCCACCCGAACGAAGAGTATCTAGCCGGCCACCCGGGCGCGTGTTAATCCATTTGCGCATCAGGTCTAGGATCGTGCACTGTGCCGTTGCATTACCATGGCCTATGATGATGAAGCTGGTTGTGCTGCCCCATGGCCATGTGGCCATCAGGCACGATCACCGCTCCGTCCCCCTATTATGCACCCCTCAAGGCTTTGATGGGCCGAGACTTTTGAAAACACCCACCACATGGCAGTTGGTAATTTCTGATAGGCCTTAAAACTATGGATTGGGTGTGGTGTTTTAGTGGATAGGCCATGGGGAATAAACCCTTCCGATGTTCCCAGGCGAGAGCTCTGTATCATGTATCCGCTACGTTTGGGATGATGCAAAATTTTGGTGGAAATTGAAGTCGTTTTAGGTTTTTTGTCTCAAAGGGCTACACTTTTGCATTCATCTGTGTCTCGCAGAACATTTAACAACGTTAGCGCCGCTGTGGCGCTGTGTCCGGCCGCGTGGCGTGTGTCAGCGCCGTGTCGTGGCGTCGTGGCGTTGTGTCCGGCCGCGTGTGTCAGCGCCGTGTCGTGGCGCTGTGGCGTTGTGTCCGGCCGCGTGTGTCAGCGCCGTGTCGTGGCGCTGTGTCCGGCCGCGTGTGTCAGCGCCGTGTCGTGGCGCTGTGTCCGGCCGCGTGTGTCAGCGTCGTGTCGTGGCGTTCTGTCCTGCCGCGTGGCGTGTGTCAGCGCCGTGTCGTGGCGTCGTGGCGTTGTGTCCGGCCGCGTGTGTCAGCGCTGTGCCGTCAGCCGTCGCCGGCTGTGTGGCGGTGTCAGCTGACGCGGGCGGGCCTTGCGCAACAGAGCGTGTACGACGGCGGCGACAGCAGAGAGCTGCCGGAGCTGCATCTGAACCAGTCCAGCGCGCTCACGTCCCAGCTGGCCCAGTACGACCTCATGGCCGACACCAACATGGACCAGCTCAACCTGCAGATCGAGAAAGAGCGGTCAGTAACGGTGACGCGGCCGTCGCACAGGTCGCTGCTCGCTGACCTGAATGGGGGGGGGGGGGGTCAGTCGAGTTGCACGGCCAGCGTTAGGTCATATGGAATACGTTGGCGCGAGGTCGAGGGTTGGGTCGGATTCGCCAACCGCACTGTCCTGTCTCATTGTTAAATAGAGGTGTGCTGGATGGTCCGGATCCAGAGGATCAAAGCGCCAATGCACTGTGTAAGCGTAGTGCTGCAACTTTATTGCAGCTGTTTCGCGGACGACGTGTAGCTTGCTGTTGTCGATACTGAACACATACTGTGCGCAGTGTGTGCCGCCTGGTTAGATATTCTTCCGACAGAATGCCAAATATCAGCCTCTGGAGGGAGTATGGGAGTGATTAAAGTTCATGTAGACACATATTTGTAGCTTTTATTTTGATGTGGAAAGTCACCATCGCCTTGTGAAGGGGCTGAGTTCCTCTTAGTTCCAGCTTGTGCCATCACGTAGTGCTAAGGTGGATTTGCCTTACGGTCCGGGTTTTCAGTGTCGAGTACCTGCAGAAATCGAAGCACCTACAGGAGCAGCTTAAGGAGATGCGAACCGAGATTGAGGTGCTCAAGATTGGAGAGAACCAAACCCTGTACGACCACATCCACGACGAACAGGTCAACCTGGGCGAAAACAAGTACTCCACCTTCAGAAAGGTGTGTCATTGTTTCGGTAGCCTTCGTCGTCGCCGATGTCTCGCAATTAGACGCGACCTCGCTGGCACTGTCGTGCTGGGCTCGGGCGGCGCCTCGCACACCCGTGCTGCCGGCCGCTGCCGCGGCACGGCCCTTGCCCACCTTGTTATTAGTGCTGAAACGCTCCGGCAGCGGCGCGTCATTAGTTTGGCGCGAGCAGTCCGGAGACCGGGCGCGTGTCGCCCCATTGTTCCCGTTTTGGCGCGCGCTGTATTTCACCCAGTGGTATGCGCCACTCGGGGCTGACACGCGCCCGCCCGTCACGTTCCAGACAAAGGAGGGCTCCACGCGGTCCCGAGTGGCCTTCTTCGAGGAGCTGTGAGCAAGCCGTCTGGTCCAAAGCGTCGCAGCGCCTTATCAGTGCCAAGTGTGCGACATTGTACGTGTCGACGCGAGGCTGTGATTCCCCAACTGCCTTCGGCGTCGCCGGGGGCAACGTGGCGGGGTGGCCGCTACCTGCGCCGCGGCCGGCCCGGCCCGGCCCGCCCTCGTGCCCGCAGTGGTGTTTGTGTCGGAGGCGACCACTGCCGACTCCCGTGCCTTCGGACGCCACAGGGCCGTGACCAGGCGGCTCGCCGAGACAGCCAGACGCTGTTCACCGCGGGCACGGATCGAGAGCACCCGCGTTTTCACTCATGGTACCGTGATGTCCATCTCGTCGGAAGACGTTGCAGCTACTTAGTCGACTGGAACGCCAAGGCCCGGCGAGCGGCCTGCGGCGCCGGGCCTCCCCGGCCGCCGCCGGCTGGTGCAGCAGCAGATGGTGGCCAGCTAGTCGGCCCGCCGGCCTGCTTCATAAGGCATGCATTTAGTGATCCCAGAGCAGCTTCTGCCGCTGCCTAAATGGTCTGTAACTCTACGATAGCGATATCATTTTCTACGTGTTTCTAGGCTGTTGCCAGTATGTTGATGGATCGGCTTGTTCCAGCGTACAGGCGCTGAACTGTTCCCACTTTCACGCTGTGACATGAATACAAGATCTTCCATGTGAACGACGCAGCGCGCAGTGGCGTGTCTGACGTCACGCTGCGCGTGGACAGGTGCGGACGCGCGACAGCCGGACACAGGAGTGAAGCGTTGCGTCCGCCTGGAGAGCCGAGATGGTGTCTTACGGCAGGTTATAAACTCACCTCAGCTCCTAATTGTCCCATTCCTTCCAATCTGCCCTGAAGTGGTTCATTCATTTGCGCTAGCCGAATCGCTAAAACCTTTCGTCCCTGCCACCTTGCGGCTTCGGTCATTCCTGGTTGCGGTTTCAATTATTTACTGCTGACGTCCTGGTTTGTAAACGGCCGTCGTGCAGCCTCCCATCAGCGTAACAGCGGGATGAGATGCTGTCTGACCGTTAGGTTGCCCCCTTACCACCGGCCGATTGAGTCGCACAGATTGTGTGCTTAAAGGCGGCTAGGCCACTATCGACCGAAGGTCCGCGATTGCCACAATAATTATCTATGCCACCGGGCACACGAAAGTTTTGCGCCTCGCGGTCAGAGGAGTACAGGAGGACCAATGCAGTACTGCGGTCACCACAGCACGGCACAGCATGACACAGACACACGCGCACACGCACGCACACACACACACACGCGCACACACGCACACGCACGCACGCACGCACGCACGCACGCACGCACGCACGCACACACACACACACACACACACACACACACACACACACACACGCACACACACACACACACACACACACGCTTGTAGGACCTAGCTTAGTGACTCCTGCCGGCGGGCCCAAGCAAAATGTCAAGGTATGTTTACGAGGAAGATGAAAATATACTACACAGGGGGGGGGGGTTTGGGGGCGGCCAGTGCAATGGTGGCATCTATGTTTGTCTCCAACGATGTTTATATTATGCGTGTAAGAACCATCTTACCGTGTCCGGCGCCCCGCTGGGTGGGTAGCAAAGTGGTAGACAGGTGGGCGGAACCCGAAGCGGGGACGAATTGAATGGGTACCATTTCAGTACAGAAGCGGCTCCACGTGCCACTGGAGGTTAAAAACACCCGCATGGAGGGAAGCGATAATTGAGGTAACACGCCACGTCGGCGGTGGTGAGGAGGGTGGGTGTCATCAAGAGGAGGGGACGGAGGAAAGCGGTCGGCAGACAATTGTGGCATTCCGAGGCGGTTTGCCAGTGGAGGGGGAATGGCGAACAAGGTGCAGCGGATCGTGTGGGTTTCCAGCCGTTGTCACTCAAATGGCGCAGGGTTATTTTCGATGATAAATTCGTTGCATTAGCTTGGCGTTGCATTACCTCTTAATGTTACCAAGCCGTCATATAAGCTGCAAATGCATTGTCATTGTTTAAATGTACATCAGCTGGACTGTAACAAGCTAACAAAATGTAGGCGCACAACCCTGATACCATGCGAGTTTACATGCAGTTTTAATTTAAGTGCGTTTGAATGCAATATCCTCGTTTTCGATAAGCGAGTGAACGGTGCACTTGCTACATTTGCACATGTGACGCAAGCGCTGAACTGGAACCAGCATATCTCCTAAAGGAGGAATCTACTACATCATAGGGAAAGATAAAGGAAGTGAATACTGACTGGAGATTTTGGCAATTAGGACAGATAAATATGTGACACGAACTGTACGTTGTAGGCCATGCGTTCCAAATTGGGGAGGAGATTTTCTCCAGAGGGGAGTATGCTAGAATCTCTGGAGGCATTCAGATGTATCCAATGGTCTCTGAGTCAAGAAAGACGGCCGTCCAGGCAACACCAGCGGGTCGGCACTGACTGAAAAGTGATGTTGCCTCATGCATGGCCATGCACCACATGCAGTAAAACGAAATGATATAGCGTAATAGCTGAACCCGGGGTCGCTTTACCGCTCACATTAAGCTTTCACGCACAAGCGATGCATCTGGAGTGATTCATTCGGTGACCTTATTTGTGCCACCCGAATGCAATCGATGTGGAACATTCCTTTTGATCTATCAGCCCTTAATATGATTTGTTTCACCATGTCCCTTTTTACACAGATATCGTCCGAGACCTAATTTCGTATGAAAATTTTTATATGCTTCAAAACTAGGATAACTTGTAACAAAACCCATCATCTCTCACCAGGCCTATGGAAACAGCCGATGAAATTGCTGTTTCAGTAGCTTGGCTTCGTTACGTATGATTTCCCCATTTCATAGCTTCTAATGTAGTCTCTAATGCGGAGTTTGATTTACGTTTAACGCGACCAATACCTAAGCTTTGTGCTAAGCCCGCTGTCACTGCTCGGAGAGTTGTAACCGGTCTCGCTGATTGTCTTGGGCATTGAAATACCTGAACACAGAGTTGTGGCAAAATGGAGTGTTTTGTTATGGACAACCACCATGGTCTTAAGCCGCGTCTGGAACAGATCATAAGAATACACGGGCATCATAATTGGTCTGACACACTTGAAACACACCAAACCGAAAGTTGTTCCTGTAAACATTGCGTGGGTGTTCCTGTCGTCGTGTCTATCGTCGATTCCGGATATCGCTGTTAGCGGCCGTAACGTCACGCAACTTCACAAAGACAAAACTGCTAACATTGAGACGTACGAGTAATCGGTGGCAGGCGAAAACACGACGGTATCAGTAACGTCTTTAAGTACCTTATTTGGCCTGACGCGCACAGCCTTGTCAAGTATTGTAGAATATATGTCATTCACGCAACTGTGACCGCAGGTAGAGGTATCAGGTGACCGCAGATCACCGACACTGTCGGCAACGCAGCACAACGCCAGTGCGAGACCCGAGATGCCATCTGACACGTTGTACCGAGAGTGTGTACGGATAAGGACCGTCACCACCTTCGCTAGCGTGGAATGCAGGAGTACGATCGGCTTGCATTTATTGTAATCATGCGTAACTTCACATACCGGTGAGGGAGAGACCTAGTGCGTGTGAAATTTGCAGCCGGTGATTCGTGTTGTGTGTGAGCATATTGCTGAGCTTTATCACGTACGCAACGGCCATAATCTTTTATCTTGCCGATATCTTTTAATATCACGACTTACGGCACTGCAAAACCACGCAAGTTTGGATTTGTTGTGAAGTGAAAACTGAATCGGAATCGAAAATTTTCTTGGGATGGGTGAGGGAGATCATGACACGTCTATCCCACACGGAAAAGGACATAAAAAGGGGACGCAGGCGACAGACTTGCTTTCGATTCCAATTATTTGAATTGGCTTAGGACCGGCTCACTGGAACCACATTCAGCTCACGACTCAAATGTACCGGTCAAAATGTCATAATTCGACTCGGATGGAAGTTTAAGTTATTAAGTACAAGGCCTGGTAAATAATAAGAAAACGGTTGCAGTTATATTTAGCTATCAAGTATATATTGTGCAGCTTTTCTCATGTGAAAGCTAGCTTTCGGGCTTTAGTTATTCAGTGTAGCCCATTATAAAGTATTTGTAGTTTCCGTATGCCAAAGACCTACCTGACAAGGTTTTTCGGGAGCATGGTCACATAGGCCATAAGTTTGTCAGGTGTTTCAGGTCTTTAAGATCATTTAGAGAATAGTCTTTCAATTGTCTACATTGCAGGAAAGCTGTGCAGTTTCAGCTCGTCGCTATGGCACTTGTCGTTATAATGCCAACCATTCTCTTTTCAAGCACAACTGCTGCCCAAGCAGGGTTGTAATTTTCTATTCACCGAAAGTGGTGCAAGCCCCAGCTTTGAGGAAAGTCCCTCGAATTTATTCATTTATCTAATTATTTTCCGAATTTATCTTGCGGAACTACGCCTCTATTACCAAGACCTGAGAACCAGGCTTCCATGATGGTAGGCTATCCACAGGGGGCAGAGGGTGGAAAAGAGAGGCTCTTCGGAGCTTAATATCTTCGGCTGTGGTTGCGACACGTAACTGCCCCTGGACCAATGGGAGACAGCCGCCGCATTTGCCGTTTGGACGCCTTGGCGGACACAGCGCCTTGCATTTGTACCACAGTGACAGCTTTCTGTAGACTTGTGCGACGCACGGGTGGGGTCGGTGCATAGCACAGTTCGGCAGCGCCATGACAGGCCGCATCAACCGATGTACCCGTCGAAAGCTGGGACCGTGGATGTGTCGGCCTCAACAGTGGGTGTGTTGACGATCAGGACCTCAACATTGGAAACAGAGCTCGTAACAGCGTCGCGATAGTGATCCGTTTGCGCCGGTCCAACTCCGTTGAAATACTGTGCGGACGCCTCTACTGGAGAAACCGTCGGTTCCTTAGTGGTTACTGTCCCATGGTGTCAGCCGGAAGAGCAAGGGACGACAGGCAGTAGCAATGTCACCGTGCCATCGCTGCTGTGCTGTATCTGAGGCGGCACTGCCGGCCGTGTGTAGCAATGGCCGCCAGCGTTACAACTTCAGCACCTAGCACAGTGCCTGGTCCTACCATTGGCTGCGCTGGCGACAGCCAGCTTTAGACGAATGACGACGCCACAGGCTCCATATGTCAAATATAGTAAAGCTATACACCTTCTGCCACAGGTTGTGGCAGAAGTATCTTTTTGTAATAACTCGCAACACGTTCCATAGCACATCGGCCGCATCTTTAGGCTATACATGTTTAATATATACATGCATACGTATATATACATACACACACACACACATATATATATATATATATATATATATATATATATATATATATATAGGTCGAAAGATCGTTCGTACTCAATGTGTTAGTGGGTGGTCAGTAACCGCATTCAACCTATTTTCTATTCCAACTCTGCTGAGGAGTTGGCGGCAAAAGGATTCGATCCTACACCTGGATATCACAGCGCTTGCATAGGCCTATGTTTTGCCCTATAGCTGCCGCGGCGCACGCTTTTGACCTCAGAAATTGAAAGAGAATTGTTTAAGCTTCATTTGTAGGCACTTTTCATGCACATACATGTTAAATATGTAGAAAGTCGTGGGCCTGGAAAAGAACATTTAGCATGGGAGCCTAAGGAATAGACATTAAATGTGTGCCGTTGCTGCCA